TTTTCAGAAAAGAGCATGTAACATTTAAGCAGCATTTTTTTTATTATGCTATGTGAGTAAGAACATGTAACAAATGTAAAATAGGTGGTATCCCAATCTGACAGTGCTTTTGCACAGAGCAGCCCCGATCCTCTCCTTTTCAGGTCCACACAGGCACTCCTCCCCCTCAAGAAATGCTCCCAGGGAAATCTGCTCGCTCTGGGGGCACCGCTACATGCTCGTCCCCGAGCCACTGCTCTATGAATCCATAAGACACATATAGCCGTGTCTCGGCCCCGCCCTCCCCAGCTCTCTTCCCATTCTCTCAGCCAGTGAGGAGGGAAAGTTCCCAGGCAGAAGAGGCTGTTGAGAATGTCTCTGGATCAGAGGGGGGTCAGGTAAGGAATGGGGGGGCTGCTGCACAGAGAAAGTTTTTTACCTTCATGCATAGACTATTTGAAGGTAAAAAACCTTGATCCTGTAGAACCGCTTTATGGGTTCATGTGAAAAATGGACAATCAGAGTGACATAAGAATGCATTGTTATCCCGCTTTAAACCGCACAAATTCCATCTGACATTCTCACCTACCCATTTGAAATTCACTATAATACCACCCTTTGTTTGCCTTTTCAATATGTATATGTACTGTAGACTGTGACTGTATGATCTCTCAGGACAAACCTATGCATGAGTCTAAATTCATATGCTCAACTAGTATTAGAAAAAGTGCACGTTATAAGTCCACTAAATTTCACGAGCACACCTGTTATGTTAGGCAAGACAAGAAGGGGCAAGAAAGGGTACAGCCTGAGGACAAGTGTCTAAAAGGGTCTAGGATGAGTTGGCACACACAAAGAAATACTGACTGGCTGCTCAGCCCGAGATCCACAAGAAATAAATCTGCAACTTTAAGTCCTGCAAGCACACAAAAAAGATGGCTGGAGTCCGTGACTGGGTTATATTTTGACTCTGGCCACCATTTTCCATATTTTAACTGAACATGGAACTCACATTGTATTTTATGTGGGATAACAAACACTCAATAACTTGAGTTTTGTGGCATCTGCCACTCCCACCTGCCTTTTAATAGAGAGCACCAAATGTAAAATCCTTAGGTGTCCAAAGTCTTTTGTTAAACTGGTTCCAACAAGCAGGCCAAAGGGTAGCCAATACACTTCAGGAGCTATTCAAAGCCTTGAACGCCAGCACTGACATCTTCTGCATGCAGATCAGTCTGCTTAGGTGTATTGTTCAGTACATTTTACATTCTGCCCTTTCTCTCAGCCCTGATGAAGGGGGATTCTGTGACCCCCATGATAAGCGTTGGCTGTCTTCTTGTAACCAGTTGAACAATAAAGACTGAACCTCAGCCTGCGCCGAGTACTTCCATTAGAATACCGCTTCCCCATCCGAACACTGACCACAGACACCACAGCTGACCAAACAAGACTAGACGACACCGGTCTTGAAGTAAACCAGGAGGTAAACTAGTTTATTTCAACACAGATACAAGATATATACACTCAAGAGACAGTCCCCCCTCCCTGCATAATGACACAGGGCGGGGCAATCTACATTTAGTAACAAGAGACACACAGGTATTCAAACCAGCAGACAGTCCTATCAGGAGGGAGGGCTGCTGGAGACACCCCCCCCCCCCCCCACACACACACACACACAAGCTAGTACACATAAACACATACATCCCATAATAGTTTGCTCCCAAGCAAGACAAACAATAGAACATTGGGATGCAGCCACACAACACCAAACAATCCACAACCCCCACCCCTCCTATCTCCTAGACATGTCTACACAATATTAGGACAGATCACCCTGTACCCCTAACAGGCACAGGGTGATTTACACATAAGGGGGATATGGGGAGCTGAGACAGAGGTCTCCCAAGCATTTTTCATTTGTCTCTCTTTGACCTATTACACCTGGATTTCTCAACTTGGGTAAATGTCCTCTCCTGGGGATCCCTGTCTTTGTATGGAACTTCCAAATACAGACCAATCAGGCTTTTGTAATGACTTTGACCACATTTTGATAGCTTGCGAAAAGACCTGTGATAGCAATTTGGCTGGGTTGATTTGGTTGTAAAGGTCAGCAGTAAAGGAATCTCAAAGTAAAAATGTAAATGTGCTAGCCATTACCGGGCTCTTAGAAAAAGAAGCTTCATGAGAAATCCAGCAAATTAAAACTTAAAAAAATGAAATTGAATGGTTTTCTGAAAAATAAAAAAGAAGATGTAATAAGAACAATAAATATCCTTGGGTTAAAAATATGGATCTCCCAGCATTTAGGTCTCAGGAGCCAACAGAATAAGCTTAATGATGGCAATAGTAGTAAACATCTCTAGACAGACAACACTGAGATAATATACCAGCTTGTGTGAATTATTTTCAGGCCAGTTTATTTTATAAATTAATATTTAACCTAAATCTGTGATTACATGTGACAGGTGGAAATAACCGATAAACACATATTAGGCATAGCAAGGCTTTAATTATTAAGACTTACTTTAGCAATTAAAAAAAAAAAAAAATTATATATATATATATATATATATATATATATATATATATATATAAAAAAATGTATTGTGACATGGGGTAGTTAGCTTTTGTGGTAGATGCTTTTATATAGTGAGTCCACAGCAAACAGGAACTATTTTTATTTAAAAGAAGGCAAACGTTCACAACAGAATGACTTCCTATGCAGGGGATCTTATTGAGCTCCAGTAAAAAGGCAAGCACTGGAAAATGCTGAGCCACTTCATTCAGCTTTAATCGCAGTACCTCTCTTTAGACACAGAGCCCTGCTGTAAGGCCCACCTCTGGCCTATGGATGGGGGTTCTCCTGACACCCCCGATAGGAGCTGACCTGACTCCTGAAACTGAGACCTCTGTCTCTTGGCTTCTGGCTGGGTCCTCCGACCCCCCGACGAGACCTACCACCTCCCACACCTGTGTATTCAGCAAGGCTACAGGTGTCTAGCAAGACCAGGACAAAGGATTGGGTGTTCTAATTCAGAGCTGCAAAATCCAGATAAAGTCAAGTCCACAGCTTCCTATATCTAGAAACACTAGTCTGGAGCATCACACATTTCACATAAAATATGAACCTAAACCCGACAAGTTGTTGTACAAGGACAGTATATGGCATATGGCTGATAGCTGAGAAGAAGTCTCGCTGGGACCGTTGCTGGACCACAGCTGCTTTCTAATGAATGTAGCGCATCCAAACTTAAGGTGTTGGTCGGGGATAGCGGCCATCTTGCCACCTATACAAAAACTGAATATACTGGGTGCTGGTTGATAGGGCACCATTTATGTTAGTATATTTTTTATACTTATTCAATAAAACTATTAGTGTGGTTTTTCACGCTATGGGGCTCTCTCTTCTTTTTTGAGAAGATATGCCTTCCCAAACAGTACAGCTCTGGGAGCTTAACAAAAATGGAAGACAAAGGGGTCTTCTCCACAAGCACTGTTGATCATCCTTGAGATAGGTGGTCAATAATACAGAGTAAGTTTACATCTTTGTGGGGCACAGGAGCACTGTCCAGTGGAGCACTTTATTATAGTTAGAGCACCAGCACTTTCTTGCACATATTGGAACATTATTGTGAAGTTACAGCACTGCTTTCATTGGAAGAATTGTATTTTATCTAAGTGGACATTATATATTAAGTTTAGGATTGGTTTCATATGGAATACAGGACCGGTGTCATTTAAAGAATTGCACAAGATTGGTTTTATTTAAAGTATTGCACTGTATTTAAGAGGATGTTATATATTATTTTCAGGTTTAGGTTCATATTTTCTGGTTATGAGTGGTTAAGTTATATATGAATTTGTTCTGTGTTTTATTTACACATTTTTAATTGCAGCAGTCACTAAGACACACATTCATTATTGATTTGAGATTTGTTTTCCTGAGTGCAGAGAAATTTCTTTTGATTTAGTCTGGAACATCGCTTTTACCATAAATGCGAATCCTGTGTCACATTTTCCTATCTTCTCACTTTGACAGACTCTCCTCCTGTCACTATATATATAAAGTTACATTTTCTTTATTTGTAAAAGTATTTTATTTTCAGTAAACCATAGTGTATCTTCAGCCAGCTTTCAGATGAAGTCCCGGTTTACACTGTTGTGGTGCTGGACACTGGATTCCTGTTCAAGTCACATGCGATTCTTTGCAGTGCAATATGAGCCATTCATTTTGCATGGCTTAAATCTCACTGCACCCACGCAAAAGGGCAGGCAACTTTTTTTTCCCCGCACTTGAATCGGTCCGATTCAAGTAAGGGGAAAAAAGTTGCCTGCACCTTTTGCGTGGGTGCGGTGAGATTTAAGCCATGCAAAATGAATGGCTCATATCACACTGCAAAGGGGTGTTCACACCCATGTGATCTAATTCAGCCAATCGCACTGTTTTTTGCAATCTGTTTTTAGGGTGTAGTTAACTTCACCTCCAAAGGGAAATGCACAGAAAGGGAATGCACAAATCCCACACTGCATCAGTGTGAACTGGCACTTAAGCCTTCTTCAGGCTAGGAGCAGTACATACATGTATGGGTGCCGGATGGGAGATATGTGTCATTATTATTTGGGTTGTGGTCCCTTTAAGGGGGCAAAAAGAGCCATTCTGGAATACACAGGGATTCTCACCCATGCAGTGAGAAACCTGATTTACTGTTTTCCCTGGATTCTTCATTCCTGATATGGGATCCAGAGTTTGGAAGCTTGCAGAGATTTTGGGTAGAGAAGAGCCTTCAACCCTGAGTACAGGTAATGTGGTGGTCAAGAAGCGGTTAATCCGCCTGCAGAGAGGGCTATATGGTGATCCGAAATCCCTAAATATCACAATATATATATATATATATATATATATATATATATACACACACATACACAGACTATATTGCCAAAGGTATTTGGACATCCCTCCAAATCATTGGATTCAGGTGTTCCAATCACTTCCATGGCCACAGGTGTATAAAATCAAGCACCTAGGCATGCAGACTGCTTCTACAAACATTTGTGAAAGAATGGGTCACTCTCAGGAGCTCAGTGAATTCAAGCTTGGTACTGTGATAGGTTGTCACCTGTGCAATAAGTCTATCCGTGAAATTTCCTTGCTACTAAATATTCCACAGTCAGCTGTTAGTTGTACTATAACAAAGTGTAAGCAACTGGGAACAACAGCAACTCACCCAAGGAGTGGTAGGCCAAGTAAAATGACAGAGCGGGGTCAGCGCATGCTGAAGTGCACAGTGCGCAGAAGTCACCAGCTGTCTGAAGAGTCAATAGCTAAAAACCTCCAAACTTCGTGAGGCATTCAGATTAGCACAACAGTGTGTAGAGAGCTACAGACTAAGACTGGGATGCCCCACCTATACTTATCTGTGCCCGTTGTCTATCCAGTACTGTGCCTGAAAGCAACATCACTTCTCTCTCATTCTCTCTCTTCATTGGCTCAGAAACAGCAATGACAGCCCTTGAGGCATGATCTCAGGACAGGGGTGGGCCGTATTGTATGTGTCAGTGGACACACACAGCATGGCTTATGAGTGAACCTGCACAAGTGCCCCCATAGCCAGAGACTTGGTATGGGGGCACTCAGCAGGGGGGGGGAATGAGCCAGAAGCGCTGTTGGGGACCCAAGAAGAGAATTGGGGCTGCTTTGTGCAAAACCATATACACTATATTCCCAAAAGTATTGGGACACTCCTCCAAACCATTGGATTCAGGCGTTCCAATCACCTCCATGGCCACAGGTGTATAAAATCAAGCACCCAGGCATGCAGACTGCTTCTACAAACATTTGTGAAAGAATAGGTCGCTTTCAGGAGCACAGTGAATTCAAGCGTGGTACTCTGATAGGTTGCCACCTGTGCAATAAGTCTATCCGTGAAATTTCCTTGCTACTAAATATTCCAGGGTCAACTGTTAGTTGTATTATAACAAAGTGGAAGCAACTGTGAACAACAGCAACTCATCCATGTTGTGTTAGGCCATATAAAATGACAGAGCTGGGTCAGCGCATGCTGAAGCGCACAGTGCGCAGATGTCGGCAACTGTCTGCAGACACAATAGCTAAAGACCTCCAAACTTCATGCGGCCTTCAGATTAGCACAGTAACAGCGTGTAAAAAGCATAATGGAATAGGTTTCCATGGCCGAGCAGCAGCATCCAAGCCTTACATTACCAAGTGCAATACAAAGCGTCAGATGCAGTGGTGTAAAGTACATCGCCACTGGACTCTAGAGCAGTGGAGATGTGTTCCCTGGAGTGAGGAATCATGCTTTTCTGTATGGGTTTGGCAATTGCCAGGAGAACGGTCCTTGTCTGACTGCATTGTGCCAAGTGTAAAGTTTGGTGGAGGTTTGCTGCTCCAACATAAATGCGCACCAGTGCACAAAGCAAGGTCCAAGAAAAAGTAAAGGATGAGTGAGTTTGGGGTGGAGGAAGTTGACTAGCCAGCACAGACATTACCTCAACCTTTGTGATGAATTAGAGCAGAGACTGCGAGCCAAGCCTCTTCTCATCTGACATCAGTGCCTGACCTCACAAATGCGCGTCTGGAAGAATGGGCAAAAATTCCCATAGACACATTCCTAATCCTTGTGGACCACTTTCTCAGAAGAGTTGAAACTTTTATAGCTGCAAAGGATGGGCCAACTCAATATTGAGCCCTACGGACTATGCCACTAAATTTCACAAGTTCACATGTGTGTGTAAAGGCAGGTGTCCCAATACTTTTGTCAATATAGTGTGTGTGTGTATATATATATATATATATATATATATATATATATATATATACAGTGCTCGGCATAATACTCCCACAAATGCAGGCCACTGATTGCAAACGAGATTTGCACACACAAAAAAGTATTGTTCCTAACAAATTCATTTAAGACCATGTTGCAAAAATGAATACACCCCCAATGAAAGTCGTAGGAACAAAGCTACATTTTAGACAACAAAATGCTAATTAACAAAAATTCAACTACAGATGAGTCTAATTATTCATTAAACAGGTGTTCAGCAGACAGTTGATTAGAAAAGGGTTTTACTCAACTAAAAAAAACCCTTCCTGTTTCATGCTGTTAGCAATGGCACCACATGGAAGAGAAATGTCACAAGGCCTGACAAAGAAAATAATTTCTTGACACAAGAAAGGTGAAGGCTACAAGAAGATCAGCAAAGCTTTACTTATCAGTCAGAATACTGTAGCAAAAGTGATACAAAAATTTTAAGATAGAACTGCAATCATCTCACAGAGATGTCCAGGCTGTCTACAGAAGTTAACACCTCGACAGGAGTGTCTTCCGATGAGAAGGGTTGAAGAAAATCGCCATGCAAGTTCACTGCAGTTAGCTAAAGAAGTAGAAAGCCAAACTGGGGTGATTGTTTCCCATGACACAATACAGCGTACACTGCAGAGGAAAGGCATGCATGGGTGTCGTCCACGAATGAAGCCTTTCCTAAAGCCCATGCACAAAAAAGCCCTCATAGAATTTGCCAGGGCTCAGCTGAAAATGAAGAAGACTACTGGGACTCTACTCTGGAGTGATGAGACCAAGGCAAATGTTTTTGGAACTGATGTCTTCAAAATTGTATGGTGTCGGAAAAGTGAAGAGTACAAAGAAAAATGCATGATGCCTACAGTGAAACATGGTGGTGGCAGTGTTCTTCTGTGCACTGCATGAGTGCTGCTGGTGTCGGGGAGCTGCTTTTCATTGATGGTATCATGAATTCACAGATGTACTGCTCTATATTGAAAAAGAAGATGCTACCATTACTCCATGCCCTTGGTCACCTCGCACTTTTCCAACATGACAATAATCCAAAACACATCTAAGGCCACTGTTGCATTTCTGAAGAACAGGGTAATGAAGTGATTCAGTGGCCAAGTATGTCTCCTGATCTGAACCCAATCGAACACCCATGGGGAATTCTGAATGTTGCAAAATGTTGCCAACTTGTTCATTCCATGCCTAGCAGACTTGGTGCTGTCCTTACAAATCATGGAGGTCATACAAAATACTAGATGTAGTAGTTTTTGTTGTGGGGTGTATTAATTTTTTCATAAACTAATTTGAGTAAAATTGAAGATTTTGTAATCTAAGGTCTATTATTAACCTTACTTTCACATAATGAGCTAAACAAATGTTCTATAAAACTTAGTTTTGTTAAAATTTTGCTTGTGTTCAATGAGATATTGATTCAAATCTTACTTTTCAAAAGGGGTGTACTCATTTATGTTGAGCACTGTATATATATATCAGTTGTGTTCAAAATAATAGTAGTCAGACATCACTAACCTGATCAATCACTGTTTTTGGTAGAAATTATATTTCTACATGGCAAATAATTTACTAGCAGGTGTAGTAGAGTAATAGCAATACAACAGACCCAACAGTCATGACATGCATGCTGCTGATTCTGTGTAATTGAATCACTAATTGAAAGGGGCATGTTCAAAACAATAGCAGTGTGGAGTTCTATCAGTGAGGTCATTCATTCTTTGAAAAACAGGTGGCAATTATTGCCCCTATTTAAGGAAGGAAGGCAGCACATGTTGTACATGCTGGTTACAGTGCATTTCTCTCTGAAATTCTGAGGAAAATGGGTCATTCCAGACATTGTTCAGAAGAACAGCGTACCTTGATTAAAAAGTTGATTGGAGAGGGGAAAACATATAAAGAAGTGCAGAAAATGATAGGCTGCTCAGCTAAAATGATCACAAATGCTTTAAATGGCAACCAAAACCTTAAAGACGTGGAAGAAAGCAAAAAACTACCATTCGAATGGATAGAAGCATAGCCAAAATGGCAAGGACTCAGCCAACAATCAGCTCCAGGAAGATAAAAGACGGACTAAAGTTACCTGTGAGTACTGTTACAATTAGAAGACACCTATGTGAAGCCAAGCTATCTGCAAGAAGCCCCCGCAAAGTCCCACTGTTGAAAAAAAGACATGTGCTGAAGAGGTTACAATTTGCCAAAGAGCACATTGACTGGCCTAAAGAGAAATGGCGCAACATTTTGTGGACTGATGAAAGTAAGATTGTTCTTTTTGGGTCTAGTGGCCAGAGACAGTTTGTCAGACGACCCCCAAACACTGAATTCAAGCCTCAGTACACTGTGAAGACAGTGAAGCATGGTTGCGCAAGCATCATGATATGAGGATGTTTCTCATACTACGGTGTTGGGCCTATTTATCGCATACCAGGGATCATGGATCAGTTTGAATACATCAGAATACTTGAAGAGGTCATGCTGCCTTATGCTGAAGAGGAAATGCCCTTGAAATGGGTGTTCCAACAAGACAACGACCCCAAACACACCAGTAAACGTGCAACATCTTGGTTCCAGACCAACAAGATTGACGTTATGGAGTGGCCAGATAAATCCCCGGATCTTTATCCAATAGAAAACTTGTGGGGTGACATCAAAAATGCAGTTTCTGAGACAAAACCAAGAAATAGAGAAAAACTGTGGAATGTAGTACAATCATCCTGGGCTGGAATACCTGTTCACAGGTGCCAGAAGTTGGTTGACTCCATGCAACACAGATGTACAGCAGTTCTCAGAAACAGTGCTTATACAACTAAATATTCATTAAGTGATTCATTGAAAGCAAAATCTTCATACATTTTTCAGTTTATATAGTGAATGTTTGAGTTTGTAAAGAATACAAACACTGCTATTTTTTTTGAACAGTCTAATATTCACTTTTCTTCAATTTTTTTAGAGGAACAACACAAATTTGATATATTTTTCTTCATGTTTTGATTTGGAATAGTTTGTGTAGTGTTCCCAATGCATTTGTGTGTATGGAAATAAAAGCTACTAGAAGGATTTTGAGCTTTATTCACTTTTTTCAACACACTGCTATTATTTTGAACACAACTGTATATATATATATATATATTATTATTATACGGTATTTATATAGCGCCAGAAAGGTTTGCTCAGCACTGTACATTATAGTGGGGGACAGAACATGAGACAATACAGTAACAAAACAACCACACGAGGGGTTCGAGGGGCCTGCTCTTTTGAGCTTACAATCTAGGAGGGAGGGGAAAGTGGTACAGGAGGAAGTGACTGTGGGGGATGGAGTGGTAGGAGGAGTGGAGGAGATCGGCTGTTAGGTGAGGGTGGGGTAGGCTTCACTGATATATATATATATATATATATATAAAACAAATGGGGAAAACTTGATGTAACCCTTTGTTTTTTACTGCTTTCTGCTTCCCTGAAAATGAATTGCTACAGAGCACCTTGAGATCCCCAATATCTGTGTACTTGTGGTAAGTGAATTCTGGGTTTTAGTAAAGGCAGAGCTAGACAACATATCCAGCACATACTACAATACAGCACAGAACCCTAGCAACCTACTAAAACCCAGAAGATACATATTGCAGGTGCCCAAGGGCTTTTTTGGGAGGGACTCCTGGTCACCATGAAGCATCCAATATACGACTAATTTAGATTAATCCTCACTCTGCAGTACCTAGTCTGCTTATTTTTTCCATTACCTGTGGTGAAAGATTTGCTGTAATACAGGTGCATCTTTTAAGTCTGTAGGCACATTTCAATTCTAAAAAACTGTTTTTTATGTATAGATTGTAATAAGCATAACTGTAGTAGCAGGCACCTTAAGGAGCATCTGTCAGGATAGATTTAATGGAGCTACTGCTGCTGGCTTGTTTTTCAAGATGCAAGCTCTAGAGTTGATCCTAACTTCACTATTAATTGTCCATAAAAGATGGCTCAAGGCTCTCCCTGGGTCCAAATCCTAGTGGTATAATGAATCATGTGAAAAGGTCACTCAGCTCTATATCTCAGGATACCACAAAAACACACAAAAAAATAAACATTTTACATGTTAGAATCCAAAGGAAATACAGCAATATATACTGTATATATATGGGCTAGATACAAACAAGAAAAGATTTTATTAAAATTAAAAAATTACCCTTTTATGTAAATTTCTTTGAATATTTCTGTATTCTTCTTACTTCATTGGTGAATCATTTACCTGGAACAAGAATGTGCATATGAAGTGTCAAAACACTTCACTGGCTTTATGTTTGTTCCAGATTAGTGACTCTGTGTAATTAAGAAAGGAAAATGATGACATTTACAATAGAACTAAAGGCAACACTTTTTTTTTAATTTCAAATAGAGTAAGGGAGGGAATAACCCATGTCAGTTTTTTTGTCATCTGTGTCCTATTGGGGTAGATTCCCTTCACTTCATGTCCCATAGCCAACACATGGAATGAGAGCAAATCCATTTGAAGTGAGGGAATCCTTGGTTGTCATCCAGGCCCTGACAAAGCTAAGCTACACTTGTGCTTGGCAAACT